GCCTGGCAGCAGCATGGGGACATGGTCCTGCTGAGTGAGGACAGCTTCAGGAGTGCGTCGTGGGAGAAGCTGGGTAAGGGGGAGTGGGGTCTGCCTGCCCAGATCCTGCCCACAGAGCTGCCCTGGCCTTTCCCAAATCTCCTGGATTGGATGCCTTGCAGGTCCGATGCTCTGGGAGACAGTCGCCTCAGCTCTGGGTGCCCGGCGGCTGGCCAGGCGAGGACGAGTGTTGCCAGATGGGATGCGGTCCCCCAGTGTCACCCTGTTGCTGGGCCAGGATGGCTGGGTGGAGCACGTGGACAACGGGATCAGGTAGGCAGGAGCTGCGGTGCAGGATGTGGCTGGTGTGGGAGAGGGGCTGCCCTCACCAGGCTGGTGGTGTCTCCCAGGTACACGTTTGATGTGACCAAGTGCATGTTCTCACCGGGCAACATCACAGAGAAGCTGCGGGTGGCCTCGCTGCCCTGCTCCAGGGAGGTCCTGGTGGATCTCTATGCAGGTAACAGGACGGTGGAGGGATTTGGCAGGGCGGGCGTGTGGAGGTAGGCAGGCAGAGAGCAATGATGCAGGTACCAATGGCATCCAGGTGGATGTGAAACTTTCCAGCCTGGACTGGAAAAATACCCAGGCTTAGAGCTCCTGCTCCATCTGTGAGCTCTCAGCTAACCTGGCACTGCTGTCCTTCCTGTGTCCCTGTTGCCTTTGGACACTTAGGATGGCCTTGCACTCGGGCTTTACAGAGCACTGCTCTGTATCTAGTGCTGGTCATGGGAATCATTTTTGGATCCAGGGAAGAGATTTGCCCTTGATGTTGTTTCTGAAAAGCTCCCAGAGGTGTCCCGAGCCTGCACTGTTGTGCTTTCACGACAAGCTGGTGCTAACTGAAGTGTCCTGTGCTGAGGTGACTGGGGAGATCACATCAGGCATTTGCGTGTCCAGAGAGCCGCTATTTTGTGCTTAGGGCAGTTAGTGTTTCTAATTTGTGCCACACAGAAAGGATGTGACGCTGGGAAAACTGCTCTGGATTCATTAAAATAAATGGTAGTCTGGGCATTTCTGCACAGAGTGGAAGCAGGGCAGGGCAGGTCTCGAGCTAGTGGCCAAGGACTGAAGGTAAAATAAGCTCTTCTGTAAACATTTTTCAAGAAAGATTTTGCTTTTGGGGAAGAGGCCGGAGTGGGTGTGAATTTCTATTTTCCCAGTGTCTGGGCTTGTTCCAACCGGGGACAAAGCAGATGCAGAGAGCCAGGGCAGTAATTGCATCCTGCCTTGCCTCTGGGGAGGAGCACAGACCCCTGGCAGTGCCTGGACCCTGCCCTCAGCCACTGCCACCTCTCCTGCCCCCAGGCATCGGCTATTTCAAGCTCTTTTTCCCGCTGCCGTACCTGGTTCATGCAGCAGCCGCCTTCGCCCACGCCTGCGAGTGGAATGGCCACGCTGTGGAGGCCCTGCGGAGGAACCTGGTGCTGAACGGCGTGCAGGACCGCTGCCGCATCCACCACGGGGACAGCCGGCAGGTGAGCAGTGCCGCCTGGCCACAGACCCCCATCACCGTGTGGCATCCCCCTCACCTCCCCTCTCCTTCCAGCTGGAGCTGCAGGACGTAGCAGACCGGGTGAACCTGGGGCTGATTCCCAGCTCAGAGGAAGGCTGGCCAGTGGCCTGCCGCGTCCTGAAGAAGGGCACGGGTGGGGTTCTCCACATCCACCAAAATGTGGAGAGTTTCCCCACATGGGACCCCCCACAGACCCCGATCCTGTGGGCTGAGAGAGGATCTCTGGAGGAAGCCAGCTCTGACAGAGTGATGCAGCGTCAGAGCCCAACAGAGGACAGCAGGAAGGAGACACCAGCAGCCAGGATCAGACCTGAGTGGCAGAGGTGGGCTGAGGACACGGCGGCACGGATCCAGGGGCTGCTGGCAGAGCTGCATGGGCAGCCGTGGCGCACCAGCATCCAGCACATCGAGGCAGTGAAGTCCTACGCGCCCCACGTTCATCACCTCGTGCTGGACCTCGAGTGCCGGCCGACGCTGCACGCCTAGCTGGCCATGGGTCCTGGTGTGGCTCCAGTTCCCATGAAATGGTGGTACTGGAGCACTGGTGGCAGGGAGATGCTACGGCAGAGCTGCATGGGCAGCCGTGGCGCACCAGCATCCAGCACATCGAGGCAGTGAAGTCCTACGCGCCCCACGTTCATCACCTCGTGCTGGACCTCGAGTGCCGGCCGACGCTGCACGCCTAGCTGGCCATGGGTCCTGGTGTGGCTCCAGTTCCCATGAAATGGTGGTACTGGAGCACTGGTGGCAGGGAGATGCTACCGTTGCCTGCTGCCAGCCTGGGTGGCTTGACATCCCCTTGTTCCCAGGTGGCAGCCCGTACCAGGGACACTGGGGGATGCTCTCCCATGGGAGATCCTTACGGGAGCTGTATCCTGGCTGAGGATGGGGTGAGCTCAGGCTGAGAGTGCCCCAAGTCCTGCCCTTGCTCTGCCTGTTGCTGCCCAGTTCTTGGACACATGGTGGCACTTTCAGCCCCATTTTCACATGGGAGAGAGCTGCAGGGCTGAATAAAGCCAAGATTCCTGCCAGGCTTTGTTTCAACAAGTCAGTGGCAGGCTTTGTGCTTGTGTTTACCAGCATGCTTTTTTTAGTGTACTGGAAACAGGTCTGTTTATCTGAATTTCTTCTCACCTTTTTGCAGAAATAAGGATGTTTCTAACCCCTCTTGTTGGTGTCTAGTGAAACACGAACACAGCAGCAAGCGTGGGGGTCTGGCCTGGGGAGGTGGGTCCCAGGGCGGTACATGGAGGGGCTTGAGGAGCAAAGCCTCTGCCCACGTCTGCTGCCCTCAATTCCACCTGCGAGCCCAAAGCACTCTTGCCTGAGCATCATCTGTGCACCCCTGTTGCAGAGAAACCCCTGCCTAGGGAGGAGGGTCCCACTAGCCCTTTGGTGTCCCCAGGTCCCCGTGGGTTTTCTGCTATGTAAGTGTCTCATCTGCTGCAGGGCTGGGAACCTCTGGCTCTCCCCGTCCAGTGGCAGGGGACCACTGGGGTGCAGCCAAAAGTGTGGGCAGAGCTGCGTCCTTGCCTTCACTTTGGGGCTGCTCCCAGCTGGTCTCCCACACAGCTGTGATGTCCTGCAGGGCGAGAAGCCACCTCCCCACGGATGTGAGCCCCACACCTTGTCCTGCCATGCATGCTCAGGGTTTCCTTGTTGCCTGTGCTGCTGTGGGCAGAGCTTGGGGAGCCCGGCCGGGACCGTATCTGCCCACGAAGGACAGGGACAGAGCCTGGAGCCTTGTGGGCAGAGTAGGGGGGACACCACGGCTGT